TTTTGGACTGTGGGAGGAAGCCGTAGAACCTGGAGAGAACCCACACATGCTCAGGGAAAAACATGCCAACTCCATGCAGAAAGACCCTGGGAATTGAACCGTGAACCTTCTTGCTGCAAGGCAGCAGTGCTACCCACTGCAACACTGAGCAGCCTAAGTTTTGCCATCAAATAAACATAACATTTTATAATGTTACTAAGTTAATAAGGTCTTGTCCTTCTGGTGCTTTATAAAGGGTTAAAGGATAAACAAAGATCTACATGCATAATAGGACGTCTTTGCTACAAAGAGGGGTGGTCTGGGTTGAACAAAGCAGTTCTTCCCTCTCTGCATTCAAACAATCAAGTAAGACGTAGATGAAAGAGTGAACACTGCTTAGTTAGCGAGCCACAGGGGGAGAAGGATTCCTCCTCAGTGATGTAACACTCGCTGTAATCCTGAGCCTGTCCTTGCCTCGCAGCGTTAATAAACTAAACACACATTTGTTCTTCCTGCAGGCTTCTTTCTACACCCACATTGATGACCCAACTGGCATTCTGTTGCCATGGCGAAGGGCCCAAGCCGTGCAACAGGTGATGCAATGCTGAGTCGTTTATACTGCTCACACCACTTTTTAATCCCCTGCATATGTGCCACTGTTTCTTATCTTGATTTTGGCTTTCCCTTGTTCCAATGGAAAATTTCTCTAGAGGGTCTTTCTTTTGTTGGGTGGACGTCAAACTTAAATCCGAGTGTAATTTAACTTAGGCTGGTGTAAAAAGAGCACCTGAGGAGACCTTATTTGTCATGTTTGCTCTACAAGCCTGAAACCAGCAGAGGGAAAATGTGCGTGTCAGATTTGATCTGTGTCATGCTAAAGATCCCTGGAATGATGGATATGGACAGACTGCTGGCCACGTTAAGCATCATAAGGACAAATCAGAAATCCTCTGCTGCACAAAGTGCATTTATTTTAAATTTTTGATTTGGTTCTAGGGGGAAAATAGGATTAAATATATTAAAAATTGCTTTTAGATTGGATCCAGATTGTGATGTTAGCCGCCCTTCCTGCAGGATCTGTGGACAGTCTCACTTTCTCCCACAAGGGAAAGTCGACTAGATTTCCTACACGCCTGCCTGGCAGCTTATGATTTGTGCCCCAAAAAACATTTATGATAAAAAGCCAGTAGAAACGGAACATCCTTAGCATCACTAACAAATACTTAGGTCTTCTGTCCTTACCTGTAAAATGATTTCTAATTTAAAAAAAAGAGAACAATATGTTGAAAGAATTTTTATTATTTTGATCCCTTTGCAGGGCTAGTGGAAGTCTGTGAGCTGTAACCCCTATCCTCTCACAATGAGCCCGGTTCTGGTTCTACTGGAGGTTTCTTCCAGTTAAATAGAGTCTTCCTCTCCACTGTCACTGCATGCATGCTCGGTGTGAGGGATTGTTGAAGAGTCAATGACAATATGCAAGCGAATATCGTTGCTGCAAGCTCATCCAGGAGGACCATGTCCTGCAAATGAAATTTCCTAATCGCACAATTTTTTTTTATCACACTGTTTAACAACATTAAGACACAAAATTTCTCACTCCAGGGAAAATGCCTCTAGTATTTGTATTTTCATACAAAGATGAATGAGTTCATTGTCCTTACTGTATAAGATTAAAGCGCTCTTAACTTATCCAGTTGTAGCTCAGTAAAGAGGACTAATATCATTATTTGGGTAAAGTGATGTCAGTCTGGACTTCAGCAGGTCCAGGAGGACTAAACATGCTTTTCTCTGCATAGAGGGGCAGGCGGTGCAGCGTGGGGTTCCTGTGCATTCGCATCTCTTCTGACCTCTTATTTTTCCACAGAACCACAGTGGGATGCATCCTGTGTGGCCCTGGATGTGCACAGCACAGAGGAGGAAGGACTTAGCATGGGCAGTGAGGACAGCACTGTGGATGATGGGATGTTTTCTGCAGGATCTGGACTCATTTTATGTTTTACTAATCCATACAAGAGCTAGAGGCAGTCCAGTACAGGAATTATGTTTTTTTTCTATGCACAAGTTGGAACGATTTGACAAAATAATCTAAATTGCGATTATTTTGAAAAAAAAAACTGCAGTTGAAATTTTATTTTTTCCTTTGCACTCAACCCAACCTTGTAGATGTTTCACTCAAGGCTTTCAGTTTTTGAAAGCTTGCTGCCCAGAGTCCTTTTTTACAGGACTTTGATGTAATCTTTGAGTGAAAAAGTGCTTATTTCTACTTGCATGCATGGATCTGCGCGCTAGCTGCAAATCTCTCTTTTTTCACACTTTCTCTTTTGGAGCATTTTATAGCCACTTAAATGCCGGGGAAATTTAGTGTCTTAGTGTTGTTAAACACAGTGTGATTATAAAAATTGAGACTCTGTGATTAGAAAATTGCAATTTGGTAAATTGGGATTATATTGCAAATGCGATTATATATGCTCAGCCCTATGCACAGCTCCATTACATCCTGAACTTTAAAGCAGCTCCTGTGTTTCCTGTTTTACTGGATGAGCTGTTTAATCCAAGTGTATCTGACCACTGTCGTCATGGTTACTAAAGTCAGACACACCTGGATTATTAAACTCATCCAGTAAAGAGAGGGAGGATACAAAGGAGCCACCTTGAATTCAGGAAGTAGTGGAGTTGTGCATAAAGCTCATGTCCCTACTTGATCCGTCCCGGAAGCAGGACCAGTCCTGTGTTTGCGCGAAGAGACATACGTCCAGGAGTCCATAAATAATCGGATTATTGTACTAAAACTATTTATTTCTATCCTTAATTCACTAAAGCAGGACTCTGCAACCTGCAGCTCCAGAGCCACCTGTAGCTCTATGGACCCTCTCCAGTGACCTTTAATAATGGCTAAAATGTTTATAAAGAGCTAAATAATGTACTATAATAAATAGAAGTATTAAAAGCTTTAGTATTTTTTACAAGATGGAAAAGAATAAAATTAAAAGAACCAGAAATGCGTCTTAAGAGCAATTTTTCTTTAAATTATTTTGGAAATTATGTGTTTTAATATTATATTAAAAGCTAAAAATACATAGATTGTTGATTGTTTAAGATGGCAACTAATTTCCTGTATCAGATAATAAAGATAAAAAAGGTTGTTTCTTTGTATATGAAAGGTTGCAGACCCCTGCACTAAGGAATGCTAATACACACCTTTAATAAATGGCTTTTCTGAGAAAATGTCGATGCTTTATTCATTTTCTTTGTTAAATCTGATTAAAGTTAAACCATGTTTATCTGCATTGTATCTGTTTTTATTTAGGTTTTGCACAATATAGCATAATGTTAACATGAAAGCAACAAATAAAACTCAAAAAGACTAGATTTAGGTTTAAATCCAAAGCCGAAAAAGTTAGCTCCAGGAAGTAGCGTAGGATCCTATTTCCGGTGCAGATCGGACACAGACGACCGATAAAAGATAAAGGATTTTAAGGCATTCATTTTCTGAGGAAATACATTATTAACCTTTAACACGTTAGAGTTTAGTACGCTAATTTAGGTCTTTTAAAAAAATAAAATCGAGGGCGACCTGGATGTGTATTTGGATGCGGATGTGCAAATGAGCCAACCTATTCTCATTATGAGTGCGTATAAAATCGTATGAAAAGTTATGCACCGTAATTTCGTACGTTTTGGACGTTTTTTTCGTCGTATGCGCATGCGCATCTGATGCACCATTTACGAATCTTGAATATAAATTACAATTAGCCCTATCCCTGACCCTAAGATATAAAACAGCAAGCAACCTAGTTAGAGACATGAATAAGTGATGATTGTTTTTCCCAGTTTTACGTCCGTCCGCGGATCTGCTTTTTTTTTCTGTCTGCCAGCGCATGCGCACTGATGTGGTTTTTTGAGGAAAAACGTCCAAAACGTACGAAATAGTGTGCATAACTTTTCGTACGATTT